GTGTACCATGTTTAGTTCATTGCTTGTGGAGAAAGGAAGAAAAAATTTTATCCTCTTTAGCTTGTCTAAGAAAAATCCAAAAAAATCTGACACTTGGAGAAAAAGATGAAAACCAGAATGAAAAAGACCTTTTGGTCTTGACTGGTGACATTGGTTCTTTTCCTAGATTTCATAGAACACACAGAATATTCAAAACAGCCTCCTGTGTTTGTCCTCTCTAGTCTGACATGTGATCATTTCACAATATAATGATAACAAGAGCAAGGTGGTATAAGGGGACCCACATAAGCTCTGCGCTGCTGCTGATTCGACTAGAAAGCCTTGACCATTGGTGGAAAGGCATACTGTGACTTGTCTTTCCTCCCTGAAAAGGCCGGGGCACATTCTGCTCAACCAACATGTTCCCAGAGGTATATAATTTAACTTCCATCTTTCATACAATAAGAAGCAACACAGTAGATCTGTTGGGAAGGTGAGGTACCTGGGAAGAATTTGGATAAGTGTTTTTTACTCAGTTATTTTCATGTGACCTGGCTCTCATTCTCAGTTCAGTTGCATTTCAACCTCAAAAAAGCCAGTTTGCTTCTCTTCATTTGGCTTATTTTGATTTATAATGTGCATGCCCCTCCTTCCCCCACTCTCACCCCATACATCTATTGTCCTTGCAACTGCTAATAGCGCTTTCCCCAAGATGTCTACACTAGACATGCATTTGCACACCGTTTCCCTTGGTAGGGACTTTACTTTCAAAGAGAGAAAATGTACTTGAGTACCTGAACTGCGTACAAAGATATCCACCCCAAAGCAGCAGAAGCTGTTCCCCACTCCCTTGGCCAGATTCGACTATTCATGTATCTGGTAGCTTCTTTAGAGCCCTTCTGGTTGCATAGGAATTAACATTCCCCCATTTTCCCCTAGCTCTTCTCCCCTCCTCCCTTTATCAAATGACTGATTTTTATGCATGAGATAATAGACAAGCCTTGGGTGACCTGTTTTTTTTTTTCCCCCTCCCTCCCCCTCCCCCCCGCTTTTTCCCTTGCGGTAAAACAGTGCTGAAGAAAGAGGGCACTAGTGTACAGCCCAGATCACATCCTTGCACCGTCTGGATTAGAGCTGAGGCGTCTGCAAACCGAGTGCCGCCACGGTCCTCTGGCCCGGGGACCATAGCGCTGTCTACCCCGACTCAGGTACGTCTCAAGTCCATAGCCTCCAAACGGACTCAGGTGAGCCGGCACCTTCCCGCGATGAAACCTACCCACATCTGCAAAGTCCCATTCTATCGGATTTTCCTCTCGGTCCTAGTTGCATCCTCGCTTATTTATTTCGTTAAGTCCTGCATCCCTGAGAAGCGTTAGGACTGGTAGGTGCCCGGGTTGTCTTTTTCCGTTTGCTTTTCTCACCTGCTGTGTTCTCACTCCCCGATCGCCCCTATAGACCCTTTCTGGTCACACTCTCACCTTGAGAAAGGGAGCCGGGAGAGGAAGCCAACTTCAGCCCTGCAGGCGGCTGAGATTTGGCGCCTCTGCCCCCAAGCAGTGAGGTTTGAATATATACCTGCAGACGCGCTGCCGGGCGAAGAGAATGAGGGTGGAGAGATGGTGAGAAGGCGAGCGGAGCGAGTGTGTGCGAGTGTGTGTGTGTGTGTGTGTGTGTGTGTGTGTGTGTGTGTGTGTATGTATGTATGTATGCGTGTCTGGTTGAAGAACGCGGAGGGAGGTTGAAAGAGCAAAAGGGGATCAAGGAATTGTATTTCACTGGTCAAAGCGTCCCTTACAGGCCATGCGGGGAATGTCTCCAGGCTGGACCGAGCACTGTCCAGGGTGCTGAAGGCGGCTCGGCTGAGGCTGCTGAGGCTGGAGCAACCCTGAAGCTTGCCTGGGTTCCCTTTCTAGCAACTATGCAAAACCAAAAGGTCCGGATTTAGGAGAGTGCGGGAGCCCTTCTATCCCCTCCCCCCATCGTGAGAAACAAGTTACTGTATTTCGCCCCTTCTCCTCAACATCTACATTAAGCCTGAAACATACCAAACTCTCACATACCGAGACTTTACCAGGCGTTGCCTTAGTAACTAATACGGATTTTCCTCTGGCAAATTTATATGTGCTACTTAGATTGTATGTCAGGGTCTCCCCAACTCCTCAAAGCTAAAGTAAAAGGTTTACCTCTCGTTCCACGTTCATTTTAAAGTAGCGCTTCCACCTTTATAATGAGTTTTCAAATTTTCTTCTGGGAAAAAGTTGATCTTTTCAAATCCGGAAAGTTCTCCTAGATTGAAAGACCTAGCTCCTCCCCTCCTCGCTTCTCCTTTCCCCTACGCCCTCTCCCCCCAAGTCTGAAAGCGCGACTGATTTTTGGGGACCGGTAAGAGACTTGAGAATGGAGGAGGGGGCCAGTCGGTGTTCTGCACCGCCTGGGACCTTTGAGGGCACTGGGAACAGGACGCACCACCTTTCTCTTTGACTAGAGCTGCATCCAAACTGTCCCTCCAGGATGTGCAGAGGTGAAATGGACCCAGCAACTATTAACAGCACTGACCCCAGAGTTCTAACACAGGCTCTCTGATGACCGGGCTTTGAATTTCTCTCTCTTTTGTCTGCAGCGTCCATCTCGCCGCTGCAACACGACGCCCTTGTTTCCTTAATCAATTTACCTTGATGCACCGTTGAGGAACGGGGACTTGAATTCCCCTAAAAACGCCCCCAGGGCGTGGAGGCGGTGGTGGAGCACCGGGAGGAGGCGGCGGCGGGGAAGGAGGCGGTGGCGGAGGAGGCGAAGGCTTTGGATAAGCGGTTCTGGCAAAAGGGACCAAGTCGGAGAGGTAGCGTTGGGCATCTCTGTGGTGCGCACCCGGAACCTGCAGCCGGGACCAGCGTGGGAACGCGGCTGGCGGGCTGTGGACCTGGTTTTCACCACAATGGTCTGGCTCCTCTTGGTTTTCTTCCCAGCGGTCTTTTTGGAGCTGTCCTTTCTCTCCAGAAGCCCCGACAGGAAAGTGTTGCTGGTGGGAGCCTCGTCTCAGCGCTCCGTGGCCAGAATGGACGGAGATGTCATCATCGGGGCCCTCTTCTCAGTCCATCACCAGCCTCCAGCTGAGAAGGTGCCCGAGAGGAAATGTGGGGAGATCAGGGAGCAGTATGGCATTCAGAGGGTGGAGGCCATGTTCCACACGCTGGATAAGATCAACGCCGACCCGGTCCTCTTGCCCAATATCACCCTGGGCAGTGAGATTCGGGACTCTTGCTGGCACTCTTCGGTGGCTCTGGAACAGAGCATTGAGTTCATCAGAGACTCTCTGATTTCCATTCGAGATGAGAAGGATGGGCTCAACCGGTGCCTTCCTGACGGCCAGTCCCTCCCCCCAGGCAGGACTAAGAAGCCCATTGCGGGTGTAATCGGCCCTGGCTCCAGCTCAGTTGCCATTCAAGTGCAGAACCTGCTCCAGCTCTTCGACATCCCCCAGATTGCTTATTCTGCCACAAGCATCGACCTGAGTGACAAAACTTTGTACAAATACTTCCTGAGGGTTGTACCGTCTGACACTTTGCAAGCGAGGGCGATGCTTGACATTGTCAAGCGTTACAATTGGACCTATGTCTCAGCAGTCCACACAGAAGGTAGGCATTGTATTTCTGAAAGAAAGGTACTAGGTTTTTTGCATGTTATGCTCCTAGGATCGTAGTAGTGTCTATTTCTAGCACCATGGAAGAACAGACTTACCCTTCTTAACACACACCCACCTAAGCAATGCCCTTTATCCTCATTCCTTCATAATTATAGTGCATGGAAACAGTATCCTATGATATTTCTAGGGATATCAGGAGCTGAAAAAATATCCAATTCTCCAATGCAGTGTCCAACTATAGATTTTGCACTTACATGACTGTTTGTCCTCATATTCTGAGTTTGTATTTGAAAGGCTTATTCACCCAAGGTGCTATATTGCCTTTCAGTGACTGGCTATTACTTTTCAAACTTAATGAGATAATCTACTGTGAGTGATTAGCAAAAAGAAATCACTGTCCCATAAACTGGATTTTAAAGCTTTCTCTTGTTTTCAATAGCTGAAGGTGTTTCTTTGTCTTCTTCTGCCCCTTCTTAACCATACTAAACTTACCTGAGAGTATAGGATTAATGCAGTAATCTCTCTCAGTACATCAGAAACTTATGTTTTAATTCTGGGGTACCTTAGTTGCAAAGAAAAAGTAAATGATTTAAATAATGAATTTTTCTTCTTATTTCATATGCTAAAATTGTACAGATTCCCTCACTTCCCAAGAATTATCTTGTTTTATAAGACATAGCACTGATAAGCTCTTTTATTTACATTTTTCTTAACACAATGACTTTGCTAATTAGAATTTAAAGTTAGACCAATTATAAATGACTAATTAAAGGATTGCCAATGGCAGTCTTAAAATGGCCTTTTAAAATAAAATAGATTTACCTGAGGTCAATACTTTTGGTCTGTCCAGAGACTTGCAGACATGATTTCTCAAATAACTTCTTATAGATTTTATTTACTCTCTTCACCTTAGCCTATATAAATTTTTGGATAAAATGACAGTTTTGAGCTCATCTATTCTCAACTCCCCCAGGAGGTTTATGAAGAAACTGAGGCCCCATTTGTAAATTAAGGTCCAGAACAATTCATACATAGATGCTGGCATATAGAAGATCTTGAGGTTGCTGCATTCTTTTTTCTTAAAATCAAATTTATTAAAGACCACCGACATGAATTCATATTCTTTTAATATTTGTACAATATTCAGTTACTAGTGTGAAGTCTGGTTATAGAAATGAAGGAACATTCTTTCTGACGGTGTTATACAGTTATCGTTAATGAAAACAGATGCTTTAATTTATGAAGAGAAAAGAATTTTGGGAATGAGCATAAATAATGTAGAATTATATATTATAATTTCAGACTCTGCTTTTGGAAAAAAAATCTTTCTGCTGCAATATTGTGATTTCCTAGTGACTTATGTTTCTGAGTCTCCTTTTGGAACAAAACTCATTACTTTTTTAAAAATACAGTCTTAAGTTCAGATGTTACTTCCTTACATTTTAATGTTTAATGTTAATTTTCTACATTTTAATGTTTAATATAGTTTTCTTTAGTGCTTAGGTGGAACATCCTAGACACAAAAGTTAAAAATGTGTTTAATATCCTCATTGAATATATTCTCCAAAGGGAATGGCAAATTCTGGATTGAATATGATATATTTAAATATTAAATCATATTATTCAGAGAGCTAGGTAATTATTGATTCTTAGAATTGGAAATTTTTTTCTTCAGGAAGAAATAATTCTTCATTATTTAATAGAGTTGTTATATTTTTCATATTGCATTATAGATCTTAGGGGAGGTGGAAGATAGTAGAATAATAAACTCCATCCCCTTTATTCTGCTTTCTAATTATATTGATTTGCTGAAAATAATTGCGAATAGTGGGTTTTTTTCTGAGAACTAGAATTAGGTTTTTTTTTTTTTTAATTAATTGAACTGTGTTTGCTAATTTTGTTGAGGAAGGACTCATAATTTTGCCCATGTATTAGTTTGATTACTTCTTTTCTGCCTTCTCATTAGTCTTATATGGTGGAGATAATGTCTCTATACTATTATAGTAAGTGATTCCAGACCGGATTGTGTTCATACAAAGGCATCATAGCTGTCTTTCCTGTTTATTACTAAGAGATTACACCATTCACCTTGCCATTTATGTGATATCTTATTTCTTCTCAAGAGAATTCATTTCTTTTGTTAAACAAAGCATCGGAGAAAACTAACTTGCTTTTATTTTCTACCACTGCAAAGAAATTTTGTGTAAACTCCTTTGTGTAAGTGCCAACTGAAAAATGCATTTTTTTTTCTTGAGGCTCTGCCCTCCTGCTTCTCAGGAACCCATAGTGTACTGGCCTACAGGCGCTTTCTTGGATTATTCAGTAATTTTCCTGACTTTAGACTGATGGGGTCACCTACTGGTGACAGCTCCCTGTCAGGTAGCAGCTAAGACCACATATCAATGTTGTCTCTGCCATCTGGGCACTATTCAGCAAGGAAGCAAGTTTGTCTGGATATTGACAATTTGCTCCTTAGAAATTGTGGGACTTCCAGTGACCTTCACATTTCCTTTCTAGATCATCAATTTCCCAGGGAATTTATGATCGCCTTTTCTTTTATTCGAAGTTAACCTAGTACAGTTAACATCAAAAGTGTAAGTGACTAGACTAGTGTACTTTCATATCTACAGTTAATTTTGAGGTAAAGAGTCTAAAATCAAAGATGAGACATCTACTATTTGAATCCCCAATTAGTTTTCTATTCTTTTCTTACTCTATTTTATATCTAAGTTAAGGGTGGAGGTATTTTGTGTTTGCTTTAACCCATTAGAATTTACTTGTTCTATTCTTTTACTTCCTTTCAATCCTCTATCACATCATTTGTGCCACACATGTCCTCTGGCCATGACAACTGTAAGTTTACCTGATGTAAAAGAGAATCATTGCACATGAGTTACATACAATAGACTCTGGAAATTGTTTGTGATTGTTTCCTGAGGAAAATGTTGAGTGGGATCTGTCAAGAGAGGAGATGGTGAAGCAATAGAGCTTTATCCAGAAATAAAATTCAAATGCACTTTGGAGCAAGCTGCTCACCTGGAATGTGTGTCTTCAAATATGCTAAGCATGGAGTACAAAAATAGCCTACTTCTGAGAAGAGTATCTCGGCCAAGGACACTGTATTACATTATTCTGATAAAATGAAGGTCTCCATTGAAGACAGGTTTATCATTTTAAAAGGTTGTCAAAAAATACTTGAAAATAAACCTAGTTGATTAAATTCAAAACACTGAACAAGTTCAATGAAGATACAAATCCAATCATTCTTTGAGTTTATAACTTCAGAAAGTTGTTGTTGCTTTGGGATTGGATCATTCTCCTTTGTTTTAACTCCTTCTTGTTTGGCATTTGATCTCATATAGTCAGATAGGTATTGATATGATAGGGATTTAGTGATGCTTCTTCCCCTATGAGGATATGCACTGCAATGTAGTCTTTTATTTACTGTTAGGTTTCATTGCCGTGCAACTTTTTTTGATATTTGCTTACATTTTATATAAGATGTACCTGCTTTGGCTTCTTTTCAATATCTGATCTTTGTTTTTATAAGCTTTTTTTTTCTGTTTGTTTTAAAACTTGATATAAAAGTCTAATGGTGTTAGAGGAAAATCTTCTTAAGCCCAAGTATGTAATTTGGCTATTACTTTAGTTAATGAAATCATATATAACAATTTTGTAACTACTAAATATCATATCATATTTCCTGTGTATGTGCTAGTAACTTTGTCTATGCCTTTCATGTCTTGATTGCAACCTATTTCACAGAAAGTTACCTTAATAAATTGCTCTATTTAATTATATAATAAGGAATGGGAGTGTCTCAAAAGGCTATTTAGGCCAACCAATTTGGATGCTTAAAAGAGCACTATTACATCCTTCCCCATACTCTAAGTTATCTAATTGTGGTTAGGGTTGCTAATGAGAGTGGGAGAATCTAGGGATTAAATTTAGAGACAGAATTTCACCTGATTCTTAGTCAATTCTTCTATAATGGCTTGTGATTGACTCCCAGAAGTTTCTACCAATTCTCACTTGATGACTGGGAGTGATCTAAAGCAACTAAAATTTCTCTTCCATATATTTATTGTCAACAAATCCTCTATTTTTAATAGAATATCTCACTAATTTTTTCACCTACATATTTTGGGTTTCAGGTCCCTCACTGTCATAACCGAACAAGTAGAATTTAGATCAATTAATTTCCCACAGACTTTTAAAAATGTGTGCTCCTATTAAGTCACATCTCTTTAATTTTGTTTGAGCAATTATTATTATTGTATCTAAGTAGGGCTTTGATTTTTTTTAAATGTAAAATTATTAGTTTGAATCCACCTTTTTTTAGCTTACCAATAAGTCAGTAGATTTTGGGATTTTATGTATCAGAGCATCCTAACTTTATGTCCTCATTCCTCATGATTTAAATATATATATATATAATGTATATA